AATAACTGAGTCCTCCTATGCAGCGCAGGAGTTAGAGGAGAAGATAATTCAAGCAGTGGAGCTTCTGATATCTTTTAGGAAGAAAAGGGATGAGCTGCAGATAGAGTGTGACAATGCAATTAAAGAAGTTAACCAATTCAGAAAGTTGGTGGAAGCTGATACTGATGAGCATTGTATCAAAAATTTCTTTTCAATTTCTTTTTCTGACATCATAGAGGCTACACAAAATTTTGATCCAACCTCAAAGATTGGAGAAGGAAAACTCGGAAGTGTTTACAAGGGGATTATTCACAATGTAAAAGTAGCTATAAAGATGTTACCAGCTTGTGGTTCTTTAAGTGATTCAGATTTCCAACATAAGGTGAATCTCTATGAATCTTGAGATGCTATATTTGTGGTATGTGTGCAATTGCGTTTCTTGTTAATTGTGTTTGCTGATTCCTAATGAACTTCTTTATGCAAGTACTAGCTGCCTTGCTATATATTATATGCTTCATTCCCAGCATTTTAAAGCTTTAGTTTCAATGAGATTGAAATTGCACAAATTCTCCCAAGGGGTGAAACTTTTAAAGTACACAATCTTTGTGAAATGTGGGATGGATTATAATTCTTGAGTGGTTTCATTTCATTTCATATTTCCTATCCCCACCCTCCCCTCTTGTGGTGTCTTTTGTAGGAACCCTTGTACGTTTGTCGTGGGATAAGTGACTTGGTGAAATCTCCTCGATTTGTTTCTTCTTGATCTCAAGTACAGGACAGTCCTTAGATCTGCTGTAGATGCTCCTGTTCCTCAAATGCGGAGGATTTTGATGCTTTGACAGAATATGAAATTTCCTTCCATTTTCTGCTTTAATCCTCAATAACCTGTTGCTTGAGGAATAAAGCCACTGTTATCATCTTTGTTCTTATGGAGAAATTTTAAGGCTTTCTGGCGTATGTTGTGTCTACACTTTTCCCATTCTTTGAATAACTGCACATGCATTCAATTTTTTGTTACAGATCCTTTGTCTTACGATTGATAAATAAACAGTTTCTTTAACAATTTTTTTTGTTCATTTCAGGCAGAAAGTTTGAGCAGGGTGAGGCATCCAAACCTTGTTACACTGATGGGGATTTGCTCAGAATCTAGGTCCCTTACCTATGAATTCCTTGAAAAGGGAAACCTTGAAGATCACCTGGCTGGCCGAACAAAATCCCGCCCTCTTTGTTGGCAACATCGGATAAGAATTGCTGTTGAGATATGCTCTGCTCTTATCTTTCTGCATTTCAATGACCCTTGCCTTGTCCACGGAAACTTGACACTTAGCAACATCCTCCTTGATGCTAAATTTATCAGCAAAATTAGTGATCTGGGAGTCCATCTCTTGGTTTCCCATAATGAGAATTCCAGTATTGATGGCAAATTCTGTGGTAAGGATGACCCAGAGGCTTCTGATCCAGAATGCATCGATAAGGGACAGCTTACTGTAGAATCTGATGTTTACTCATTCGGCATTATACTTTTACGACTTTTGACTGCAAGACCAGCTTCAGGTATAGTGAGGGAGGTCAAGTGTGCTTGGGAAAGTGGGAACTTGGGTTCAGTTTTGGACTGTTCAGCTGGTGAATGGCCAACTGAACGAGCGAACCTGTTAGCTTATCTAGCGTTGAGGTGCTGTGCGGAGGATCCTTTAAATCGACCTAATATGCTCTTAGAAGTCTGGCCAACAATTGAGCCAATGAGAGATGTATGCACACCATGCCCGGATTCAAATACTTCATCTCAGGGTTCCAAGAGTCAACGACGAATTCCTCCTCATTTTGTTTGTCCTATCTTCCAGGTAAGCTTAAGATATATGATTAGTTTTCTTTTTCATAATTAGATGTTCTTACCTCCTAAATGGAGATGTATAAATTGTCTGTGTGAGATGCTCAATTTTCGTGATCAATGCTTGTTTTGTGTGAGAACATGTATACAGCAATCTAGCATATCAGATGCTCAGCTTGTGTTGAGCACTCATTCTATGTGAATGTACATAATACTCACGTTCACTCAGTAACATGTTAGGTTGCGCTAGCAAGCGACTAGGACAAGAATGTCTTACTTAGGTGATAAGAAACATGATAAGAATGATGAATACTTTCGCGTGTAAAGAATTAAAGAAACCCCCTAAATCCTTGGTAGTTGCCCTTTCGTGACTTGAACCAAGAATATTATCAGATACTATCAAGAATCAAAATGTACAATCACATTAGTGGAGCCGGGAACTCTACAAGGGGATTCAAATAAATGCAAAAATGTCACAACTACAACTAAAACGTTTAAGCTAAAACAATTTTTGAACAACCACCTTTGCCATTATTCTAGGAGCTTACGTTATCTCAAGGGAAGTTCGATACTTTGTGTGTGTGTGTGTATAAACACAGACGCACACACACACTATTTGCACAGTATAATTTTTTGAGGAATGGAATTTAATTGGATTATTGAACCCCCCTTTGTTATATGTAGTTCTGCTCTGTGTACAGATGGTTGCTGAGACTTCATATCTGTTATACTTTGTGTGTCCTGTTTGAGTGATGTCTTATATTTTCCATTACACTTTCAGGAAGTTATGGAAGATCCATACATAGCAGCAGATGGTTATACATATGAAGGTGATGCAATAAAAGGATGGCTGTATAGCGGACATGATACTTCTCCAATGACAAACCTCAAGCTGGATACCTGCGATCTAATTCCCAATTATGCTCTCTATCGCGCAATTCAGGAATGGCAGCAACAGTCCTGAAACTCATTAGGGTCTATAATGCCTTTTACAAACAAAAACAGCTACAAAGTTGAAATATACACCGAATTAGAAAGTTAGCCATACCTCATGGTAGTCCCACTGAGTTCATGCTTGGATTTAGACTTATTTGAACTTGTCAGGAAAAGTATACAAGTCTTACTGCAATATTGAGATGTATAGATTTTATCATTATGTACATTGCATACTTTGCATATACAAATATAGAGCAAAAAGGACGGTTCCCCTAATCTTCACTGTGTTTGACATGGCAAAAGTTGTTTTCTGGGAGAAATTAATTTTCCAGTATTTGTTACCCCGAATTGCCGAATATGTTCTCTTGAGAAAATATTTACCTCGATTAAATTATTTCCCAGTATTTGTTACCTTGAATTGCTGGATATGTTTTCTTGGGAAAAAAATTTCCTTGATTAAATTATTTTCCCAGTATTTTGTTACCTTGAATTGCTGAAGATGTTTTCTCTTGGGAAAATATTTTCAACTTTGATGACTTTGGCCACTTGTGGAAGTAATTTTAGTTTACAAGTAATTGCAGTTTTACTTAATATATTGTTTTTTAATCAACACTTACACATTGTTGTCAATCTTTAATGCTCAAAATTACTACCAAAGCACTATCTTCATATCTTGCATCTACCTTATAAAGTTACTATTATATGTTATCTACTTTTTTACCATTCAAATATTAGACAATGATACATAAAATGGTTTTTCAAAACAAAACATTTTCGAATGGAAAAATAATTTTTATGTACATATTTTACATTATATTAAACATATTATCAACTATAGTGTTTAGTTTGCTTTCAGGTGTAAAAATGTAAAAATAGCACGGTATAGCCAGTTTTCGGACTGGTCATTCAAAAATAGTCAGCGTTTACGAAGTCAATGAAAAATAGTCACTATTTTGCTGCAACAGAGGCCGGTCCAGCATAATATACTGGAGTTCGGTGCACCTGTGTATGAACTCCAGCATATTATGATGGATCGATATACTTTGCTGACTCCAGTATATTATACTGGACAATTATACTTGCTGGAACTCCAGTACATTATTCTGGAGTTCTAGTGTACTTATGCTGGAACTCCATCATATTATGTTGGAGTTCCAGCATACTTATCTCGGAACTCCAGTATAATATGCTGGAGTTCAAGCATATTTATGTTGGAACTCTAGTATAATATACTGGCGTATTTTCCGGGTTTTGAACAGTATTTTTGCTCAAATTTATCTTTACATGAAAAATGGCTAAATTTCGATTACTTTTAAAACTAGGCTATTTTTGAACGAGCAGTTGTAAATGTGGCTATTTTATGCGTGCAAAGCCCATTGGTGTTGGGTTATAATTTTCTGTTGGGCCAATCACGATTCACATCACATGTGCTTTTACCGGAAGAAGAAGAACAACTTTACGTCTGGCACAAAATCAAGGCGAATTCCAGGAATCACATTAAAGCCTACTGCTCAATGACTTTTCAATTCTCCTGTTTTTTCCTTTTCATTTAGTTGCAATTTTGCACGAAGAGGATTTACATTAAGAGGACGGGTGCGGGCGTTTGTTCCAAAAATATGTCAAGTTTTTCATCTCCTTGTTGTAACAATTTAAAAACTATCCAGAGGCTTTTAAAAAAGTGAATGACTTCTTATAAAATTATTTAGTTAGAAAATGCAAATTGAAAAATCTCCAAAAGACGGTTTAGTAACCAAGATGTTAAAATCCAAAACATAATATCATCTTAATAAATACATAACACGTGTCTTCAAATATTATTTTATAACAAGCACAATATATATATATATATATATATATATATATATATACAAACAATTGATAAATGTTCGCCAGATCTAGTATCTAAAGTTTATAAATTTTTAAATAAGCCTCAAGTTAATATAAAATAATAATTGAAATTACAATCAAATATTATAGATATTTACGTAAATTTCTTATTACATATACATGTTTGAGCAAAAAATTACTAAATGTGAGCGAACCTAATACATTTCTTTTCTTGGTGATAACAAAATATTTTCAATTCCAATGTATTTTTTTTCCTGAATTCCAATGCATGAAAATGAAATAAGTCAAAAAAAATTTGGAATTCAATAATCGATTTAGCAAATATATATTTTACTTGCCATAGTTGCCCAAAAGGTTACATATTTTTGCAACTTTACACAATATATTCTCCCTTTATTTTCTCACACTTTCCCTACTTCTCACTCTCCCTCCCTTTGGTCCCTCTGCAGATTTCGCCGACTCCTCCTCTCCTCTCCTCTCCCAATATATATATATATATATACACACACATTCATACATATATTCACATAATCTTTTTTTTCTCTCTACCGGCGATTTTCAATCCCTCCGACCGCCGGTGATCCCTCGATACTTTTGCGGCACTGGTATGTATTCTAAACTCTACTAAGGAGTATTCTTTTTCTATGTTTTGTACCGGCACGTGCCGATCACGGATCACGTCACCTCAAGCCCTAATTCGACGCACGTTTTNCCCTAAGCTGACGCACGTTTTCTTTCTTTTTAATCAAGTTAGCTCTACTTTGATCTGATATTAATGTACTTCTTGTTATTGCTTCGTTATTTCATTCGTATCATAGAGTCTTATTTATTTTTATTGGAACTTTATTAGTTCTATGAGTTGCTTTACTGTGTAGAAGTTGTATATCTCTATAAAATTTATAGCAACCTAAGCAGTGTATTAAACTACTGAAGAAAGTTTAAATTTTGATGCGCTAAATGCGAATGCGTTAATCAGTAACTATGATTCTCACTCTGCATTGGTGATGGAACGGGAAGCTTTTTTTAAAAATTAATATTCTTATTCTAAATGCTGTTGAATTCAACATTTGAGCCCGGTGTACAAATTTATCTATCGTAATCCGCCTCTATGAGTCATTGTTGAAATCATAATTGATGGTGAATGCTGCAAACCTCACTATTGGGAATGGTACTTTGAGATTCAGTAAAAAGTTTTGAATCCCTTGGCTTTGGTCCGATAGTAAGATTGCCACACCTGATGTGTGGATTAGGAGCATGTCATAGGTTAGAACACTGCCGCAGACAAAAGCCTGAGATTTAGGTGGAGAAGGGTAGAGGAACAAGACCATTATCGACCAAGTTGTAAATTCTGCACCCCTGGCCCTTGGGTATTTCTTGGTTACTTATAAAAATAATAAGAAGTTTTGAAACATTATGGTTAACAATCCTTAATGTAGGTATGGTTCCTAACCATAATCTTTAGGAAGGAAAAATCTTACTTTTTCTTTGATAAAGTAATAAAGGAAGGAAGATCTTACATAAGAAGGATAATATTAAAATAGGGTCTGTTGTTAGAAATAAGATTAGGTGAGCTTCTAGTTTTGACAACTGATTTCGTTATCCAACATTTGTGTATCCTGTCTGATCATATGAAATCCTTAATTGTATTGGAAAGGATGGACTCTAATGCCTTGAAAATACATTTGAATTTGGTTGGGATATTTAAGGAATTTATTAAGAAAACTCTGTTCTGTATAAACAGTAGATTATTTTCATGGAGATGGTTAACAAGACTGATCATTTGACAGCACAAAATTTACTTCTTAGTTTCTCTTCTACTTCTGTCCACCTATTCAGTAAGCATACATGGTAAGGATCTTCAGGATTTCAAGTTAGTTGAAGGGACTGGTGTACACTTCACCATAAAGCAGTAAACTTTTTTCTTGGTGAGATGTTCAAGGAAATCCAGCTGTACCAATAAAAGTCAACTGTACTTGGCTTTTAATGAGAGACTGCTGCTCGAGATCAATTACATCTATACTATAGAAGGTGAAAAATTGATAGGTGTTTTTCTTATCTAGCCTTCTTTTAGTGTCCCATTGCCTTTTAGCCAGTAAATTTTCTATTTATTCATTTGTTGATGGGATATCTGCTTTTTCAAAACTCTTCTTCTAGGTGCATTAAGAAAAAGAAAAGAAAGAGAAGTTTTGCTGGTTGAATACTGGAAAAATCATCTTTCTTGCATGAATTGCACTCAATTGCTTCAGTTGTAAAACAAGCTAGCGTCACAGAGTCAATTGCATCATATTGAAAGAATGTTTTTAAATCAGGAACGATTGAAAGAATATTTTCAAACAAGGTAGTAGTTGTTGATAGTGGAAGTAGGCTTGCTGAATAATTAAATACAATTTAAATATGGACACTTGGGATCAGCTGCTCATTTAATACTCGAAAATTAATCTGTGAAATGACCAATGCATGCCTAAACTTCTAAAGCTTACAAGGTAGATAAGTTGAGTTTGTAAAGCTAATCACCAGGCTTGTTTCTGCTTCAATGTAGGGTTTGAATTTTTTACTTAGCCAAGGCTATCCAGAAAAACTTCAAAGAAGGTTTGCATCTTTGGATTAGAGGTCAACTTAAGAGATTTTCCAAAATCCTTTAGAAGTGAACCTCTTTTTGATTAGTGAAATAAGTGTTAAGCCTGGTTCCCGGATAGCAACCGTCTGAGTAACAAATCAGTACTAGAATATCTTCTGCTTTATGTTGATCTCAAGTGCCTGCCGAAAATAATTTATGCTTCTGAGTGACAATTAGTAGAATAACTGAGATAGGTATCGGCAAAGTAGAAATTTTTATTTTGCTAAGTCTTTTGGTTTCCAGATGTTTTGGATTTGCTATATATTTGTTTTAGGTCAGGATGTTTTAACATTGTGGCTGTTCATGCAAGTAATTCTTTTTATTCTTCTTTTCTGTCCATTTGTTTGCTGCAATTTTTCGTAACTCAGTGGCATTCTGTGATTGTATCTTCAATTTATGAGTGCAGTTTCAAAAATTTTATTTTCAGTTGAAATTTAATAGTAGTGTCTCTTCCAGGTTATGTGTAAAGATGCAAGTTGTGTTCATCTTTTCTACTTTTTTCTTGCCTCTTTATTTATTTCTGCTGTAAAAACACATATCTTTTGTAGTTCTTGCCTGCCATGATGAAGATATAGTATATCTACACAAGCACAACTCAGAAACATGCATGTACAGATTTATCTGACTCGTTCGGCAGAATATGCGATATTAGTTTGGATTGTCGACATCTAATTGATAACTTCTTCTGCAGTTCGATTTTATGAGCCATTAACTGAGAATACATGTCGGTTGGAAAGCTCAGAATAGGTGCTACGCCAGCTGCAATGAAAGCCGATGAGGGAAATGATTCGCTTGATACTTTGATTAGGCAAGCCATAGGCAAGGAGCCTCTTTTTTCTTTTTCAAGAACAGGGGATGGTCCTGTCCAGTGGTTTCAACTGCTTCATGGTTTAGAGCAGCAAGGTAACAAAGTAACGTCTAAAAATGGCTGCATTCATAGCATACAACATTTCTCTAGGTTTTTGAGCATATTAGATAAGTTAGTCGGGTAAGTCACCAATATTTCAATAGGTCTGAAAACCTTGTGGTTGTAAAGAATGTCAAGCTTTTGGCAGTACTTGTCTTTTGTGTGTTAGAGGCAGAACCCTTCAAGTACATGAAATGGACTAAAAATTGGTTACCTATGGAGCTACAATTGAAGCCATGGGGATTGATTTTGGTTTATGTGGTTCTTTGTGCAGATAATGCTGGTGGTTGGCCAATGCTAACACCGTTAAAACTTCAGAAGTGTGAAAAATGTTCTCGGGAATTTTATGCCCCTATAAATTATCGGAGACATATGCGTCTGCATCGTCGAGCTTTAAACTTTGATAAGGTATCTTTAGATGTCATTTTCCTTTATATTACTTTATCCTTTCAGAATAACAAATTCGTTTTATTCCAGAAAGTTATAGGTTTACTGTTGCATATGTAAACCACCTTTTTCCAATATAATTTCCATTCTGGTGACCTTTACAATGTTTTGTTATAAAACTTAGTGCAGTTGTGTTTGCTTGTCAATAATTTGAATGTGGGTGTGATACATGTGCATCTTATTATTTGTTCACATTTTGCAGGAATCTCGCAAATACAGGGATCTGCTGGGAGCATTTTGGGATAAGGTACTCCCCTCTGCCCCCCTCTCTAAATTTTCTTTGTTGTGTTGTTCAGTGTCCTTTGTTCCATATGGCTATTTATGTTTGCATAACTACATGCAGCTCTCAGTGGATGAGATTAAGGAAGTTGTATCGTTGCATGATGTTTCAATAAAGGTAAGTACCAGATTCACGTTACCTGTCCATGATGTTTCAATAAAGGTAAGTACCAGATTCACTTTACCTGTCTTAGGTATTTGTTTGCCTGGAATTTGAAGTGAGTTTTTTTAACATGCAAATTTTGACCTTATCCAATCAAATTTGAGACAAATGGATCATCTAAAGTCAACCATTGATCATCAAATTGCTTGCAGTGATTGTAGTAGGATAATTGGTGATGTGCTACAAGGTGCTTCTTACATCTCTGACGTATGTATGTGAAGTTGACAATAGTATATTTGTATTCTGCATGTTCTACCTTTCTATGGGAAATTACAGCTTAATTCTTATATTTGGCAACTTGCACTTAGTTCCATTTCCCTTTATAAAGAGGTAGCAGGCTGATTATTATCACACAAGTAATTGTTAACTGTAGAGTTAAAGGATCTATTTTTTATTCAAACTATCTCTTTATTTCATATAAATGTCTACTCATGCTAGAAATCTCTAGCTTGTTTATAATAAGCGTACGGCTGGTGGTAAACTTTCTTTACAAAGTGACTGTTGGACTGTAGTACGCTAGAAAATTCTAACGTTTCATTTGCTGATCTTTAAAGTTACAAAGGATCATTTTTGTGGTTGATAATGTCTTTCAGGACCTTGCTGGATCTTCACTTGTTAATGACCTGGCAACATCTCTGCAAAAGATGGCGATTTGGGCTCATCCTCAAGATTATTATGAGGCTGGTTTAGCTTTGTTGGTAAGTAATCTAATTCAACTTCCTGTCAAGTGCAATCGATGCACTTCCCTGACAAAAGAGAAGTGAGCAGAAGAGTCAATAATGCTCATAGTTAATTTGCAGGAAGTCATCCAAGGTAAACCTTCCAAGCTTCCAATTACCTCTCAGGAATTATTTAGCATCCTTGATGATGCTAGCGAAACAACATTTTTATGTGCCGGCACAGCCGAGTCGGTGCAAAAATATGTTTTTGACGGGTATGCTGCCAAAAAAGGTCTCGAGTTTAAAAACTTGGTTGCTTGCGCTAGCTTCCTTTTTGAACAGAAACTGGTAGTTCTTTCTTCCTTACCTCTTAATTTTTTTTTTATTTCTTGAGAACTAGCTAGCTTTATTTTGTCTCTGTGTACATGTCTATAGAAATATTAACGCCATGCACCAGCATATTGCATTGAAATGAATGTTTCTAGGTTAATTTTTTATATATTTTGGGAAATGCTAATAGTTGTGCTAAGCATTCTCTGTTTATTTTTCCTTTTTCTCGTATCAGACTGATCCTGTCCTTTAAACTAACATGCACAGTGACTTGTGTCCTGTTATGCCCAGGTAAAAGCATGGTTCGCAGACAAAGATGCTGAAGCTATGAGATGCCAGAAGTTGCTTTTTGAGGAGGAAGAAGCTGCTCAAAAAAGGTGAGGCACTGTTTACTGTATTTCTCGTTCTCTAATATTGCCTTTTCATGTGTCCCACTAGGAATTATGGCTTTTACTGATCATCATTTTTCTTATGTTCTTAGTAGGTAGTCAATAATTGATAAAGAGGTATTCCTTTTATTTTATGGAATGAAGTGTTAGAAAACATTTACATACTCGAGGTGTGACTATTTTTGTGAACAGATTTATATGTTGTGAAGTTGTGCTCTTGGAGTTTATTCCCTCTTTTCTTGAAGCAGATTGCTTTTCATTTAGTTCTCAATCCCAGAAATAGTATATGGAGATAAAGAGTCATTTTCACATGTTTTGAGGACTGGTGATGTTGACATTTATATCCCTATTAATGTGGCCAATAATTTCCTCTGGTTTCATAGCTACTTGTTTTGTTACTTGTTCTTCGCCAACTGATTTGTAAGTCTGGAAAATAAATAATGAGGAGATTTCAATAGCTTTTTTAGCATTTCCGGAAGGGGATAGAGTGAGACTGAACCAGCCATTCTTGTTCATAGTTGTTGGGAGAGTTCTCTTCATGCCATGTCAAGAGTTCGAGGCTGAAAGTTGTCAGCAGAGAAAGCGATAGAGTGAGACACAAATCAAAGGGGAAAATATTCTACATGCTTAACAACTCCTAGCTACTTGAAAGATTGTTATCACTTACATAAAAATAAAATAAGATACATGATTTGCCTCCAGGGCATTGTTCTAGTGGTAAGAGCACAACATGTGATGCAGATCATCGTTCAAATCCTGCTGGCTGCTGCAGACAAATGCTTGGTATTTAAGTAGAGAAGGGTAGAGGGGCAATGCCCATTATCTATTGAGTTTAGAATCGCCCGTCACTATCCCTCGGACTTTTCTCAGTTATCAAAAAAGAATAAGATACATGATTATATTTTCAGTTGTGCAGTTACAGAAACTCATTTCACTATCATTCTTGTTTTCTTGTAGACGAGCTGAGCTGTTGGAACGGAAAAAGCTGAAAAAGCTTAGGCAGAAGGAACAGAGAGCAAGAGAGCAATCAAATTGGGAAAGGGGAGATTTGGAGGTACCTGCTGATTCTTTTGAAGGTCCAATAGCAGAATCTTCTGTCCGTTCAGCGGCAGCATCTGAATCCAGTTCTAGTACTCCCCAAGTATCTGATGATATTTACTCCTGCCTTGAACTTGTTCAATTCTCTAACAATGAAAATATGGACATTGAAGCCCAACTAAATATCTCTCATCCGCACCTGGATCTAGTTGAAATTCAGGATGTTGAGCCCCCTCCAGTGTCTGCAAATAGTCGACGGCATTTCCCCCACACCCAGTGGCAAGTCGCAAAATCACAACGAACAGGGAGAAATGGTTTTCGTAACAACCAGAATCATGAAGTACAGAATCTTGAACCAATACAGAAGCATGGAGTTATTAAAGACCGAGGTGCCCCTGTTAATGGCAGTAAGATTTGGACAAGAAAAATTAGAGTGCAAAATGGTGAGCGCTTAAGGCTGGATCCGCAGAAAGAGGCAATTGATCAAAATCAGAGGAACTGTGAAGTGATGATTGGTTCTATATCTGTTTCAATGAAAAATTGCAGCACACATGGACAGGGTAACTGTCCTGCTGTCGAAAGAGATAACTTTGAAAGCATAGAGCCAGCCATGCTACAAAAGTTAAATCATGTACAGAAGCCAGCAAAGCACGATGTTCTTCAGGGTGGGTCAAATGGAGCAGCTGTGAAGCTCTGGAGGCCTGTGAGCAGGCATGGAAGTGGACGACAAGATCCTGGAGAGGATGTGATCTCTGTAAAGTTGGACAATCGGACTTCCTCCACTGAAAATAATTTGCGATTATGCTCGAGGGACAACCCTACTGGCAAGACTAAGAATTACACATGTCAGGTTTCAGATGGAAATGTTCTTCAAGGTCTGGGATTTTGCAGTGTTTCTGCGAAAGCTTTTCTATCTCAGAGTATGTTTCTATGCTCTTATTCATCTCCTGCTCTAGGTTTTCTACCTGCTTATTATCAGCTTCATATTAGTTTGACTGGTTTGAATAAATGTAGGATGGAAGGAGGCAATCTCGGGAGATCATGTTAGATTAGTCCTTTCCGATGACATTGAGGTTTCAGGACAGTCCGACACGCAAAATGGCAGTTCAGAAGCAGCCCCGCGGTCAGCTGATCAGGACCATGGTATTCTTGTCAAAGCCGACAACCAGCAGGCAAATACTGGAGATCTTAGTTTTTCGTCCAATGGCAACAGTAAGGTTAAGTTTAGGCAGAAGCCTGATAAGTCTACTAAGATAAAGTGCATTCCAAAGCAAAAAAAACAAAAACAAAAACAAGCCTTAATTTAGTAGGATAAAGGTATTTCATGGGTTATAATACCAGATTGTGCACAGCTTTTACGGTCCAGCAGAGGTTCCGTTTTACCTGTGGTCTTCTGTCAAAGAGTTGAAGGAAGGTTTTCTAGAGTATACAGTCCCATTGTCGCAGCATTATGGCTAGGGTAGTTTTCTTTTTGCAACTTCCAATTTTTCTCTAATAAGTTGGCTTTCTAAATTTTTTGATCTCAGTGCTCGCCATTTTCTGCCGTTGCCGCTCAACAAATCTCATGTTTTCTCGGACAATATGTGAATATAGGATCAATTGATAAGATAATCCCAATTATTTACAGAACAATTAGATTAGCACTCACTCTGAGCTTCTTCCAAATTATTTTTTGTGCTTATTTGGTTCAGTCAAAGGCCCCACTTGTATGATTATACTGAGTTTGTTGTTGTTTACTAATGGATAACTTTCTTGCTACATCTGCGTATTCAGGCGCCCACAGGATATTCGCACTCTTTGGTTCGCTGCACTGGCTGTTGATCTTTTTCTATCCTCCTAAGTGAACATATGAAGAAGGTTCATTGCAACTCGCACAATATACTTTCTGACGACTTGACAGTACGGTCCGTCTTTTGTTGCCCAGCTTAGAATACGTACTTAAGTAACACCCGTTGTATAATTATGAATACTCTCCCGTTCAAGTCAAATTTAACTGGTGTGGAGTTTTAAGATTAAAATGTTGAACAGATTATCAAATAAAATAATGGAGAATAATAATAATAATAACTGATGTTAAACTTTATTGCTAGAGAAGTTAAGTTTTCAGCAAAGTCATCTGGATAACTTTTAAGGAAATGTATTTGATTGTCTGTGAGCTTTCCAAAGATGTAGAGTCTTTGAGCACTTTTCTTTCGATATTTTCTTTTCTAAAGTTAATTTTTTAAAGATAATACTAAACAAACATGCAACTTTACCTTTTCAAGACTAACCAATAGGAAAGAATGTCTAGTTTTACTTTTTAAAAGGCTAGTAATTTTTTATGATCATCTGCTGAAAAGTTGAATTTCCAATGCACAACTCACGGAATGCATAAGGATAAGTAACAATAAAGATAACACTCAAGGAAAATAAGGGGCGAAATAATAACTCACGGACGCAGCCACTCGACAGGCCACAATTCGACCACCGAACGACATGCCTCCTTAGTAGCTTCACACATTTTGACTTAACGACAAATGTCTTAGCTATCTAACAAATGACCCACATGACATTCCAAAGATAAACTAGTAGTACCAGTACCCCCACCCTAACTGCAACGTCCTGTTATTTCAGCCACGTATTTTACCCAACACCTCCAACTACCACGTGTACTTCCTTGTCCCTTACAAGACAACTTCTGCATTTTAACTGCAATGCAAATGGTTGTTCACTTTCTGAACTAGTTAGTTCCTTATCATCTTCATATAAACGAATTTTACTTCAAATCCATCAAAAAAGAAGCAACCAAGAAGGAAGTTTTAAAGAAATGTCAGGTGGGGTTGGTGTATGTAGTGACATTAGTTTACCAAAAGATGAACACTTTCCACAGGACAAGAATCAGACCAAATTCCCCAACAATAAAAAACCTCAGCACCAAAACAGACGATTCTTCACTTTCAGACAACTTAACGCCCTTGCCGTTGTAATCGTCTTTTCTTCTAGTGGTATGGTGAGTGTTGAGGATTTCGCTTTTGTTATATTTTCTCTAATTTACATGTACTTCATTTCCAAAATTGCCTTCCCACCAATTTCTCCTCAAACAGAACCCCCTGTTTTTAGCGAAAACAACAAGTTTCTTACTCTTTACGTTACAGTTGGGGCAATTGTGGGGTTATTTCTTCCTATAGCTTATATTTTCGAAGGTATTTACGAGGGTGATAAAGAAGGTATTAAAGCAGCAGCACCACATGTTTTCTTGTTGGCCAGTCAAGTTTTTATGGAAGGATTGGCGTTTACTGATAGATTTTCGCTACCTATACGTGTATTTGTTCCAGTATTTTACAATTCGAGGAGGATTTTTACAATTATGGAATGGTTGACAAGTGAAATTTCTCAAGTGGATCAAGAATATGGAGGAAATGTGAGGAGGCTGTATATGGGTAGAGCTTTAGCTGTTGCAAATATGGTATTTTGGTGTTTTAATTTGTTTGGTTTCTTGTTGCCTGTGTATCTTCCTAAGGCCTTTAAGATATATTACTCTGCCCGCAAACTAAAAGATTGAGTAAAGAAAGTAGTATTTCTTAGGCTTTTATTTTCATTTTCCAAAAGAATCAAGTAGTTGTGAGATGTATGTTATAAATGGATTTGTATTTTCTGTGATTTGTCTAGATTATTTGGTTGATCAAGAGGCTTATTTCATTAACAAAAGTGGAAAAATTAAAAATGACTTCCTTACTAATAATTACTTTACTTTACTTATTACTTACACACACCTATCTAATAAGAGGGAAAGCAAGGAGCTCTCCGTCAACCTGCCTGCCTGGCGTAGGGATATTTTTGGAGTATTTTACTGTCTGGTCTGAAGACTTGACTTTTTGCTGAAAAATTAGCATTATTTCTTCTAATTGAATTGCATTACGGGTAATAGATTGAATTGCAGCACTTTGTTGAGTTTCATTTTGCCCTTGCTTTTGCTTTTGCTTTTTCGAACAGTAAATGTACTTGTACAATTTTGTAAATTCAAGAATAGCAAAGCCTTGTTTCAACGTCCGAAAAGGTATTAATGTTGAAGATGCCACATGAAAATGATCTCATAAATTCACAAGTGTCTCTAACTTATAAGTACTAATCTTTTAGTACATGTGCTTTAAAATGTTAACCTTATTTTTGTATCCTTCATCGTAAATTAAATTTCATCCAGCTTTAGCATACTCATTTGTAAAATTGAAGTATATAATAATTAATACTAGGTCCTTTTTTGGGTAAACAATATAAGCTCATTTTATAAATTAAATTTAAATTTTTTATTTTCATCATTGTAATTTAAATTGATCTAACTTTAGCATACCTATCTCTAAAATCTTTAAAAAAAATGTAATTTTTGTTTGGGTAAAGAATTTTTGTTAGAGTAAAACATAGTCAACTAGAGGTAAAAAAAGAAAAACAAGTACTATCCAATATATGACAAATGGATAAATGAAGAAACAATTATGTACTTTAATATGCTTTTCAGTTACTATAGAAAATAAAGGATCCTAATTGGGTTAATTATTACTGTGACAGAGGAATGACTCAACAAATAATTATATACGACTATTATACTTTTCGCTTACCTTGATTATTTGTAAATAAATTATATTAGTTGATAAATGAAGAACTATAAATGCAACTATATAAGATTATCTTCATTTTAATCATTGGAAGGAAAAAGCTTGTTAAATAACTTGTGTCTGTTGTTATTATAACAATTGGAGAACTAAATAGGTAAAGTGGATCAATAAAACTTGTAAAAGTAAAAAGTACTTCTACCTTGTAAACTTATTTGATAGATAACACCTAACAACAACTTCTACGTGAGTTCAGTTCCCAATTAAGATTTCTCCTTTTGATTTTTTGATGTGTTTGATTTTATTGCTGAGTTAAGCGTTGATTTTAATAATTTCAGCGGTAAAATATTATTAAGATTATGTTAAAATTGCAATTTTTTAATAAAAATACAAAATAAAAAATCGAAGAAAACACGAATCCTAGGACAATTAGCAGTTTGCTCCATCGTAGCTTAACTCTTTGCACTAAAAATCTCTCTTTATTTCACTTAATCTTCTTGAAGTTCCGCGGTAACTCACTTTACCATCCAATTGACGACGTTGTCGAAGCACTCAGAGTCATAAATATCCTCACCAACTCCATTTTCGTCAACCGATAATTCAGCTCCTCTTAAATTAGAATTGCATAAAACAAAGAAACCAGGTTTAATTTGTGTTAAGATTCTTTTCTGGTGATGGGCATTGCGATGCTATGGAGACTTTGGGCAGCATAGAAGCTCAATCGAACCCCTAATTTTTCTTGTCAGAAAAATTGACACAACATCAAGAACCGATGAAGACATTAATATAAAAGTGGTACAAAATCCACAAAGGAAAGAAATTGCAATTTGTATAATTGAGGAAAGAATAAGTTTAGAAAGATAAACACTTACAGAACAGAAGTCCAAAGTTAAGAGCAAGAGGAGCAATTAGAAACTAAAGACACATATTAAACCTAATTTTTTGATTAAACTATAATAAAATTATTTTGGTATTCAAGACATATTAAAGAAAATTAACTACCTTAGATATACAAGAAATTGACAGTGAAGATAGTTGCATGAGCACCTTTAATAAAAACAAAACATCTATAAAAACAGAAAAAGAGACGAAGAAAATAAGAGAAGAACTTTAGATGCAAAAACTCGTAGGGAGAACAAAGAAGAGATGATATGTAATTTCTTATGTTGTAAAACAGAATTTTTGTATCATTCAGCATAAGTTAAGCAAAAAATTTGCTCATGTTAATTAGCACAACATGATCATAAAGCAGACGCCTATTAAAATTTAAATTTCAGGTAATAGTTTGGACAAACAAAATTATTAATTTTTTGCTTTTCAATTATTTTAGGTGGTTTAAGATTAACTCTAGGATACTTTGGAGATGGACTTTTAAAACAAAAAGTTCTTTAATAATGAAAAAGTATGAAGAATTAAGTTAAATAGTTGTCCATCCAATTACTTAAGCTAAAAATGTCCGTCAAATATATATATATATATATATATATATATATATATATATATATATATATATATATATAAACAATTATATATCATTAGTATTTATTTTGTGTGTACCGGTTAAAAAAAGAAAACAATAATTATCAATCTATATGAAGCTCTCAAAAATTATAGTCTAATATTTAGCATATGTTTATTCACGGGCAATCGTTTACTAGCTCCCATTATAAACAGTAAGCACTAGGAGGGTTATGCACGGATTAGAGTATATCTATTTATAATAAATTAATTACCATGTTTACTATCAAATTAGCTGGAGTTTTTTTTAATGTAACTTAGATAGTTGAAAATTTTAAACTCAGTATAGATTTTGTGTTTTTTCAATTTCTAGACGGATTGCTTTTGTTTTATTCTCTTTATGGATAAAGATAGATGAACAGGTCATGTGTCAGTTTGGCACCTTGTTTGTTTGATAGGGTATATAAGAATAATGTTGAATATAATGTATTAGTAATGCTGGCATTAGTTATGTTAATATATTTTTTTATTTATTATTTAGTTTGATGTATTAAAGCATTACACAATTTTTGAAAGAATTGTTTGTTTATAAAAATACCTTCATAATTAATCCATTATTTTATTTTTTAAAAAAAACATATGTTGAGGAATATTTTTACATGAACAAGGTTTTAAAAAATATATATTTGGTTTGTCTACCTATATTGTAGTATATAACTAAATATTTATTTATAAAAAAAATATGCTAAGTATTTATTTATTTACTAGGGATATAATTTATTTCCAACTTTCTGGGACTATTTCTAACTTGCATTAATATAATAGCATATTTTAAACAAGCAAATTTTGAAGGATAATTTTGTCTTTAACTAAGCTCATACATGTATTAAAACCCATTGTATTGTTAATACCATGGTTTCTTATGCATTAGTTACGCATAGGATAATATCAAATAGGGTGTACAACTAATGCTTGCATAACTAATGCATATGTTCAAAAAGTGTACCAAATATGGTATTATGAATACACAAAGTTAATGCGTACATTAATTTATCTAATGCATCCTACCAAACGACCCCTAATAATAAATAGGTGTTTGCACATAAAAAATTGTAATTTTGAAAAAAAAAAGTATTTGGAGTTGAGTTGAAAAATAATATTTGTAATTTAAAATTATGTTTAGACATGCATTTTATTTCTTACAAAAGTATTGCAATTTTGTAAGTTGGGGAACAAAACTTTTTAAAATAAATTATTTTTAAATTTTTTAGAAACTTATAAAATTTTATGGACAAGTATGTATATATATATACACTAATTACTGATAGCCCGTGCTGAGCACGAGCCCAATTACTCTATGCTAAATTTTGGGGTGTACCTTTATTTTTCTTTCATTTTCTTCGTATTTATAAAAAAAGGAGATTTGTTGTTGTGCGACTACTGTAAATAAGTAATTACAGTTTGCAACACAACTTTTGTCTATCGGTTATTTATTTCTGATTTCATGAGAAAATCTTCGTAATTATCTCAAGCTAGATACCAGTCTCATAGAATAAGTAAGCTAATCATCTATTTGTTTTATGCGATTTAGACTTTAGACTACTTTAATAAAGCGATACATATACAAATTTGAAACTTTTTTACACCGATATTCTTTAAAAAATACTTAGAGCAACATAATATATGATTCACCTTTAGAACAATTTCTTCTTCGGTCGAGAAATAACAAGTTTGAATAAATTATATTTGATCAAAATTAATTTTCTACTAAGATTAAATTTTTAGCAAGCATTTAAATCAGGCCCATTTCATAAATTTGACTGCCCAACGGACATTATAAAGTGGGTTAGTTATAACTGTTACTCTAACAATTGAAAAATTAATTCAAATAGCGGACCACCAAACTGTGTAAACTAAAAATAGCCATTGAAGATATAATATATGTATATTATATGTGTATAATTATGTATTATCGATGTATAAATTATGTATATGGCTAGAAAAGTAAACAATGAATATGACAGGCTATATGTGTAAAAATCCCAACAATTTTACCTTAGTATAAAAGTGGGTGTACTTGTAACTATAATTTTTTCCCTAATAGTATCACTTTTATGTCCTTTTTGGGTGTTCAAATAAATCCCCAGAATACGTTAAAATAAATTTAATAGATCGTACAGGTGTTGGTAATGTTGTAAGTGGAAAAATTGGGGACAAAAAGAGATACACTATCAGTAGCATTCCATGAATTTTCAGAAAAAGCTCCGTAACCTAATTTATGGAAACACATGAGGTAATGCAAGGTAATAAATTAAGATATTATTGTGAAAAGTACTAAAGATTATTTGTAATTTCATATATAAAGATATTTGTTAGCAGTGATGTACAAATTATTCTTTATTATTTCTAAGCGTATTTGGTAGCAGCTATCAAATATAGACATGGCAACCAAAGATGAAGCTAAAAAGGAGAAAAACCAAAGCAATTACATGAACATGAACTTTTGAAAGACGCGATGTACCAAATAACCCCTATTTCCTAAACTACCCCAAGCTCCTCTCGCTACTCGCTAGCCGTTTCTATAATAATAATATATTTTTTAGACAATTTTCCAGGCATAGGTAGCAGGCTTGCTTTGTCTGTTTCGGGCCAGGGCCAGGGCCAGGAGAAAGATACTATACAGCTACGATAAGATAAGCTTGTGATAAAGGAAGAGAGTCGGAATAAGTTGACAGCCAGCGTAAAACTACTGATGAATCCTCATTAACTGAACCCATACAGAACAATTTATGATATTGAGGTTCAAACAGCCAATACAACTAGCTTGGGATCGAGGCCTGGTTATCGTTTGTTTGTTAACCACAAGCTTAGACTAATTACTTGTACAATGAAGAAACACAAGCACGATATCTATTTTTTGTACATAATATACAGTTATACACCCTGGTGTCAGTGAGGTATGCAGCCATTTCATGAGAGAAATGGTCATTATACATTTCTTTTAAGGGGAAAAGGCAAAAGCAAATTTAAATAAAAAATGAAATGAAATAAAATAAAGCAAAGGGGTGGCGGGGGGAATTACAACAGCCATTTGAACCAAATCAGAGAAGATAGAAAACCAGGTTTAAAGAAATCTGGAATCTATTGCAAAATTGGAAACTGTATCTCAGTGTCTGGAAATGCATGGCAAATGCAATGCAAGTTACCATAAACCACAAACAACGAAAACTTTCCTTCTATCTTGATATTTCCCTACACTTTTGAGCACTCGGCTTAAACAGCGACAAGAACTCACTTTTGGCAGCTTGACAAGAGGGTAGAACTTTACATGCAATGAACAACAAAACATTACCAGCCATCGTTGCAAACAGCGGAGACAGACACGCTGGCATGTTAAGCTCAAGCTGAATCTAAAAGACGCATTATCCACCATTATCCTCGGTCCACACCTGCTGCAAAGATTATAGACTCCCAATGAGACACAAGCTTCTAGCACAAAACAGTCAGCTTTTTATTTCTCTTGCACAATGCCGACATCTGTTTTATCAAGTCATCTTATATTGATTCGGGTGATTCTGTTTTTCTTTTTTCTTAGGGTGGAAAATGTTCAAGGAGAGGTGCAAAGCAAACAATCAACAAATAATCATTGTTCACAACCACAAACTAGCCACGAAGTTTAATACACATTCCCAGCTCTAGAAGCAACGATTCATAAATGAAATGACAGGGCCATGAGAAAAATCATGCACGGAGCTACAAGCATTCAGACTAAATTACTTCCCTAATATGTCAACTCCAAAGAACCATTGAAATTCTGATTACAAAAAGTCAGCTGCAGCAATAAGACTACTTATAAGCCTGATTTCCACAGCAACAATTTGAAATAAACTAGGTTAAAGATCACCCTGAACCGACCAGGAGAAATCGCTGTGGGAAATCAGAAATGTGACACACGTTAAACAAGAGAGAGAGAGTTTTGACTTCGAGGAATGCTTTTAGTTCTTTGAGGGAAATGCAAACAAATCAAATGCTATACTGCATTAAATCTGGAACCATTTCTGACACTACCGAGGCATTGTCTCATTAGGTATATAATGAATGTCAGATACAATCATGGCAGCTCCATACTACGATATTCTTTTACGATTAAGATTCTACTATTTAATTCAACTTCTCAAACCAGCCTAAAAATTATTGTACTTGTTGGCATATTCCAATCACCTACGGATTGAATTCTTTATTTCACTGCAGCTCAGCAAGATCTTTCCTGAAGAATATTTACATTTTTTCTAAGTTCTCTATAAATGTTTGGTTCAAGAAAGATAAAATCTTACCTGTACATCTCTTCAAGGAACCATTTCCATTCATGGAAATTGGTCCAAGCCTCCTCTCTGGAGCCAAAGACAAAATCTCCGGCCAGTCACAGTTTAGTCGCCGAGCAAAATCCTCAACCTCCCTGCAATTTAGAAATTCAGAATCAAGTTACAAACCCCATATTTTACCATTGGAATAGTTAAAAGAAAACTTGCCCCATACAGATAATAGAAGCCCATGCTAAGAGTAATATGGAAAGCATCTCTCTGTAATTGATAGTAATTGCTAGTGACACACACAGAGACTAGAACAAGCCCCTTCTCCAAAGACAGAATTCTGATGGAACTACTACATATTCTCAAGGATAAATAATAAAAAATAACCTCTGCTACATAACTAGGGATTTATCGGTTGTTATCCATACACCATCACTCGTGGATGAGATGGCAGTTCTACACTGATTAAATAAATCCATATACTATGATATGTAAGCAGATTCCAGCTAGAAGAATGTGAGCATTATAATGTTGATTAACTTGCAGTTTGCACAATGTTTAGGAAAGACAACCAGAATATGAAACCAGACAAGAAATTAATGCCAGAAAAGGAAGCAGGTCAAACAAAGAAATCGAGGAAATTCATGGAATTAGATAAGACAGATCATCAAAGGTGTGCCCATATTAGAGCCAGATATAGAATCTAGAGTTTTAAACCAGGGGAGCTATATCACGGGGAAAAACTCTCCATGGGATTTTGGGAAGATAAATATTCTATCTCAACCCTTTTTCTATCTTTTGTTCTTTTTTCTTTCCTTTTGTTTTGGGGGGTGGGGGTTTAGTTATGCGCATAAAGGCTAAGTTATTAACCTTTAGGCCATGCATTGCCCTGAAGCATGCAAATCCTTCAGTCTTGCCAGAAAGAAGGGATATCGATAGTTACTTATTAAAAAAAAAACAGATAGTTCCACTGAGCTTCTTAGATAGGTATGCAACCTCCGCAGAATCCACTGTCAGTAAGTTCACTAAGCAACACAACAGTTCAGAAGAAGCAGAAGGAACCCAGAGAGAGAGAGAGAGAGAGAGAGAGAGAGAGAGAGAGAGAGAGAGAGGCCAAAAAAACTAGTCTTCCCTTTACCTAAAGAATCCTACCAAGATCTATGAGAAAAAGAAACATAACATAAACTAAAACTCAACAATTTAACATCAGAAATGCAATCATGTCATATAGTAGAACAACACATCTATCTCTAGTCAAGATAAGCAAACCTGTCAATTTTTTCCTGCATTACTGGATCTAACTCATCATCCATATCAAAGTCATCAAAGTCGAGTTTAGATGGAAACGTTGCAGATGCCGAGTTTTGCAGCTTTGAATTTCTACTCAGAGAAGACATGTCGCTGATATCACCATTTAGGCAGCCAGATGCAAGGCAACTAGATTCCTGAGTACCAGCAAGGATCGGATCAAAACAAATAAAAGATAGTTCCGAGCAAGACACTCTCCTCTCTTTTACACGCATGTGAGCAGAAAAAATAAAAGAAAGAATAGAGTCCACGAGATGCCAACCTTATTACAGTTTCCAGCTTCATTATTTGAAGAATTGTTTCTAGCTTGTTCTTTTCTCCCTCGAGTTTTCTTTTTATTTTTTGTTTCTCTCACTCCCTTTGAGTCTGCAAAAAAAAAAAAAGGTACCATGAGACAATTAAAAGAAGGAACTTATCAGACACAGAATCAAGACCAAGGTTCTCAAAACAATAATGTTGGTTAAAAATCATCCAATGTCAGGGGCTTGTAGAAATGAGAAGTATACAGTTCTGCGTTGACTGAAAAGCTAACCTGTGCATGTGCATGTACTAATGAAAAAGTTAAATCCTTCAGACGAAGCTAGATTACAGTATTATGAGGTCCAGTAACCATACAGACTACAAATATGATGAATATGCAGCAATTTATTTTTTCTGATTATGCAGATATGCAGCAATATGTTTACTTATCGGAAAAAAAATTTATGCAGCAAGGAATTCATCGAAAGCACAAGAATGACGCATGCCCGTGACCATAGCTTGGGCAAACTAAAGATACAAACTATGACACGCAACTCCATTGATAAAGTTGTGTGCACTGCAAAATATGCTCTTAACGTTTCCATCAAGAAAGCATCCACAATACAGAACCGGAGAAATAATGATATAGTCAAAAGAATTCACACCCAAAAGGTGACTAAAGATAGAAGTCGACAAACAATGATACATAGCGATGCAATACAACTTCATCTAGTCATTGGCAATATATGGAAATTAACGTACGCAAATAGCTAAATTATATTACTTATATAACATGTAGAAATTAGAGCAACTCTACACCACAACGGAGGGTGTCAATGAAGTTCATCAATATACCTCCATCTCCACCATTTATGAATGACAAAAGATCATCAACGGATCTTTCATCTACAACTTGCTGTTCTTCCACCTCAACATTCTGGAAAATGTAAATGAAGAGCAGTTCCCCATTAATGAATTGATGCAAAACAATAGTTGATGCATATACAATCACGCAATAATTAGCGTCAACTTAAGTAACCACAATTAAAGATTCAAACAAGAGCTAAATGTCAAAGTACCTTTAGTTTCTTTCTCTCATTCAATTCTTTTCTTTTTTTTGCATAGAGTCGATTTAGAAGGCGGATACGTGGATCATCCGTCATATTTCTCAAAGGCTCCAACTTCTCCTCCTGACGAAATACCACTTCCATGTAAGAATAAAAACAATATGGAAGTAGCTAGCTATCAAAGTTTTTTGCTAGCGAGACAGACCTCTGTTAGATCATCAGGCAAATGGAAAGTTTCACGTATTTCTTCGGGAGTTTTGCCTTCAATCACCCTAGCAAGTGCACGGCTTGTAAGGTCAACCACAGGCTTTAGTTGAAGGCTGTCAGCAGCAGAAGCCAATTCACATAACTTCTGGGTATCTAACCGGATGTACTTCTCATCAAAAATCTTGCGCTCCTAGATACGTAAAAGACAACTGTTGCACTTAGTGGAAAGCAAATGCTTGAACATCCTATTACATAAAACCTACACATAACATACTGAGCTCTGATTTTCCTTCATTGTGGGGAGAGGACATGCATTGTTAACAAGGAAGCAAGAAATAGACCTTATTAGAACGGCCAGTAACTTGATGGAACCGACAAAAATCCAGTATTAACCCTAAGACAGCAGCATTGACTCGTTCAGGAAGTACAACTGCATTATTTTTCGAGGATCCCGTGCTGTTTTGAGCTACTTCCCTGCATATCACAGGGCAATACATGGCAACCTCTTGCTCCACTTGTTGGATTGAACCATCAGCTGTTTGGAGCCAGATGTATGACTTCATCTGTACGGAAGAACCGCAAAGCAAATTAGCAAGAGTAATTTGGAAAAGGTCACTTGATTGGAACATATAATATGGGGAGCAGTGGAAATACACTAAAAATCTATGCCCAAAACTTGGACAGTGACAGAGGATGTCAAACGACTTTCCCATGCAAAAAGTATCCAGAAGAAATAACAGTGTCTTTAAATAATAACACTTAATGGCAACTAAAATTATGCCACCAGTGCCCGCATTAGAGCTGCCCATTATCAGTTCTCCAACTGGATCAACGCTTACAACATTTAAGCGCAATGATCTATACAACATATCTTGTGTGGTGATGCAACATGGCATCATTAAACTAAGAAACACCTAACTCTTCCATGCAGTATCCATCTTTAAATCTAAAATATGTCTAAAAAAAAGTCTATCAGCAGAGCCAGTTCATCTTAACACAAAAAAACTGCTATTCCCAAATCGTGGCATCTCATAATACCTAGTGAATGCAACTCACAGCCTGAAAGAGCAACTGATACAAGACAGCCTTTAAACGGAATGGGATTGATTGAGCATAAAAGGAATAAAAATTAAAAGAGTGTCCAAAATTCACATAGATCATAACCGCGACATGAGCTCATACCTCATGGTCTCTCATACTTCTATTACTAGATAAATAAATACAGCCAAGTGTCGTTTGAACATAAAAATTTATGGTCGCTCATACCTCTGGTTTGACGATCGCCATAGGACCTCCCGACATGAGCTGCCCGATCCGAGCAAAACTGTTTATAGGCCTTCTCAGAACTAATGCAAGAATAAAGGTAAAATCTAAAAAGTGTAAATGTAGTGAATAAGACAGAAACTTTATTCATTCAGAAGACGAGCATAAGTAACAGACAGCAAAACCTTCGTAAGTAAACTTTTCCGAATTCCAATAAGACATGCACCTCCAAGGAGATGGTTTCATTAGTTCCGCTCAAAATAAAAAAACGCAGCAAATTGATCAAGTTACATTAATTAACCCCCCCACCCTCCCCCACAAAACCCCATATATGAATCTAAATAGGAGGTCAGTGGTTCATTTGCATTTTGTTGCCTATGTGAACATCCAATTAAGGGTCTTACTTCTATCTTTACTTGCTTTTCTTACTTCATTTATTCTTTCTTCACAGTCCTGCGACATCATCCCCTAGAATTCATTCCCATAGGACAATAACAAGTTCCAAACCTCACTGCCACCACCTGTCTCTTCCTCCCCCCTCCCCAAAAAAAAGAAGGGGCAAAACTAAGAAGTAGAAAAGGAAAAACAATAAACAATCCCCACAAAACCCACTAGGTGATTTCTGATTTCTTTCCATCTACCTCAGCTTGGTGGACAGAGTTACCCGGTACCTGTGCCAGCGGGAGGTAGCAGGTACCCGGCAGAGTAGACGAGGTGCGAGCAAGCTGGCCTGGAGACCACCGTCATAAAAAATTAAACAATCCCCAGAAATGAACATTTGACAGAGAAGTATCAAAAACCTTCAATTTTCACCTCAATAGCTACCAAATGAATAAACCCGTCAACATTTTCTCCATTTAACCCCAATGAATATTCACCAATTGGAAAACCATATAAAGCAACTCGATTTTTACACGAAATTAAAACCAAGAAACCAATAAAGAACCAATCTTTACTTTACAAAGAGGTAGTTATCAACAATTAACATAGGTAATTAAATTCTTCTTCTCTAACAGAAGTAATTAAACCCAAAATCAAAAAGTGAAAACGAAAATGAAAGGATACCTGAGGAAACAATGCAACGCCGCAGAAATAAGAGATGGAGAATACAAAACCCCAGAGGAATATATAGGGTTTTCAGCTAGGAAGAAAGGGAATTTTATTCTTTTTTTGGCTCGTTTAGGGTTTTTTGTTTTTTTTTTATTCTTCCACGATAGGAGGAAGAGCAGTTTCTGTAAATGTATGTATGTATATATATCTGGTTTCTGTTTGTTGTAAGAGAGAGGTGTTATTGGCACGTGAGTGTCAATGGTAGTTTACCAGGTTTAGGGCTCTCTATCTCAACGGCAATGGTGGCTGCTGGATTTAGGAGGGAGCTACTAACCTCTTTTACTGCCAAATATTATATCAATTTATTTAGTTTTTCCATTTGTTGTTTGTCCGCATTGGCACTTTAACTGCTATTAAAGAAAATTTCTATACATCTCATCACAATTTTTATTATATTAGAATTTTTCTTTTATTTTTGCTTATCATATTATTTATTATTTTTTTCTTTTCTTTTGAAACAAAATAGATAATATGAATATTGTGGTAACTTCGAAATATAATAGTTAAGTGGAGCAAAATAGGTGCACGTAGTTTAATTTGAAATTGAGGCGTAATTATCTTATTTTAAAGTTGATATATAGTGGTTAATTAAATTGTTCTAATTATGTCCAAAATACTACTCTCAAAAGATACTTCTTGTTTCATTTTTTCTCGATAACCATCTATTTATGTATAAATATTAGATTTTTACATTAAAAATAAAATCACTAACTAGTCAAACCTCGACATAACATGAAAATGGGATGAGTAATGTGTATACTAACAAGTAATGTTACACCACAGATAAATTATTATTTACTGTATGTAAAAAAAATCCTAATTGTACGTGCATGTTCGTATATAAACTATACGTTGTTTACTATTAATTTAATTATACGAGAAAGTTCTAATGATCTAACTATCATTGAACCCGACTATAAGCCAAGCAACAAACAATTTTCCAATGTCATAGTATTAGTTACTATGTAATGACCATAATTTTGCTTTTCAATTTGTTTGTTCGATAAAATTTAACTCTTTAAATGATCGTTATCATATAAAAGAAATACTATAATGAACTTGCATTTAGTATTCCAAAAGAAACATATATTTCTAAAAGTTCAAATTGTATTACCTTGGTCACGTGCACAACTGAATTTTACGAATGATCAAAAATATAAAAGGTTTCACGATTAAATTATAATCACTAATTTACAATATTTCTAACTTAGTTTTTTTTATAATAATATTTCCTTTTTATTAGATTTCTAAATGTCCTTTGTTGACTCAAGAAATCGAGTAAAATAATTTTCTACCTCCAATTCTAAATGAATTCAAATACTTTTCAAATTAAATATAATTTGATTTAATCTCATGTCAATGTGGATTTGTATTATTTTATTTCCTTTTATGCTATAGTCATTATTAATATCCTTTCATAAATGATTTTAGCAACTTGATCTTCCTGGATTCAATAAATCTTCTTCACATTCTCTTTTCATGACGGTTTTCCCCCCATAATTTTTAAAGTGTCCAATAATATTTTTCTTCACATAACCATAATATGTAAATTCAAATTTTTAAAGTTCTAAATTTTAAATCTTTTCATAACTCTCTTCTACCTCGAATTTTCATAATCTCTGTTACCTAATTATTACTTCTAGTTCACATTGAATTCAAATTCTTTCCAAATGAAATGTAATTTAATTTCATCTTATGTGATTGATAGATTTTGAATTATTTTATTTCCATACGTGCTCTACATTCATAATTAATATCCTTCCATGAATGATTTTAGCATCTTGATCTTCTTGGATTTCAGCAAATCTTCTTTTGTAGAATTCTCTTTTCATAACATTATTTTATTGTACATTCCCAACAATACTTTACTTGACATAATCATAGTATCTCAATTCAGATTTATAGCAAAATGAATTTCCAATTTAAAATCTATTTCCATACGCTAGTAGAGCTTGGACAAATATTTTTTGATCTCTTATGTTTGTTACTATATCTTTTTCCCTTTCAAAAAGTTGCAACAATTCAATCATAACACTCTCTTAATCAACACATTACTAAGATATTTCCATTAAATGTGGACATTTGTTATGCACTAAATCCCGACGTCAAAAAATATTTCAATCGTATTAGAATCAATATCTTTTCATATTTAATGTTTGAAATCTCTCATATCCTCTTTCATAATGTATCAAATATATATTCCATATTTTCCTTAATCTTGACCTTCCTCCCATAACGAAATATATGAAATTATCATGCGTTATTCCATTCCTTCCCTATCTATTTTATTTGTTCTTCTCAAAAATCTTTCAATTTCTATATTTTGTCCAAAAATATATTTACTACATAAATAATTAATTGGTCTTTGATTAAAATTTACTATACCAATATTGAATGTCTATTGTGTTAATTTGTTCCTCGGAGGAGTAAGGGTAAGATCTGCAAACACCCTAACATTCCCAGACCCTACTAGTGGAATTGATGTTGTTGTTGTTGATTGTGTTAATTTGTTATCAACAACATTAGTTTGTAAAATTATTGGATTAAAATATGAAAGATAAGTCAATAACATAAATGATACCACAAAAAAAATCTAAAAAAAGTAAAAGGTTTATAATATGAGGGTATAAATAGACTTTGCATATAAGATCACTTGTTAATTATCGGATTTTGAGATATGATAAAGGAAACATTCAAAGTTTAAAGTTGGAAGAAAATATTAATGTTGTTACAAAAAATGAAAGGAGAAAAAATAAATTTCACACAAGAATTCTCTCAAAAGGGGAAAAAAATTCATGCGAAAACCAATAAGATACAAACTTGTTTAAATTGGAAAAATGTACAGTATATAGATTGGGCAAATGTGTAGGCTAGCACTTCCACTTGGCAACATAGGCGCCGCACCTGGCTGGTACATTCACATTCTTGGACAGACAACTGCAATTTTTATTTTTAGTTTTGCTGCTACTTCCGTGTCAGTCAGACATGCAAGTCCTAATTTGATTTAGTGTATGCTTTTAATACACAGTTTTCCGTGTCATTAAGCAAAGCTAACTTCTGCACTATTTTCCTCTCCCATTTATCTACAACACAGACAAGAAAACTAAAATGTGGTTTTTCAGGAGAAAAGGGGCATCTGGGTTATCGTATAATTCCACTGCTGGGGAAGTTACTCAAGGAATTGATGGCTCTGGTCTCACTGCCATTGTTACAGGTTCCACTATGCTTCCTTCATTTTACGCTCTTGAAAATTCCCTTTTGGATTTATGCCTATAATGGTTTAATTTGATCTCGATCGTTACTATTTTTTTTATAATCGTTGCGCGCACCTCGACTAATCCTCCCACCAGCAACAGGTACATGTACCAGCTAAAGACTTGTATATATAGAAAGAAATGACCTAGTGGTTTTTGTCTCCGCTGGCATTTGAACCTGAGACGAGTTCTCCCCACTTCATTGACCACTAGGCCATACGCAATCTCGATCATTACTATTGTTGGTGCATACAACTATTTACTTTAATATGTTAAATTAAACAAGGGTGACACCTTCATGGATTAAGGGTATGAACCAATAAATTAAAGTTGATTGCTGACAATATTCAATTTCAACTTCATTTTGCACCAGACCAACAGAATTGGTAATTGAATTTCTGAAAAGCTAATGAAATATTGAATTCCATAAAGTAGTCATCAGGCAATTCCTTATGTGGCCCAGCTGATGCAAAAATTGGTCCACATATAGATTAGACTATTGTAGAAGCTGCAATCTGTAAATGCAGTTGAAGCAATCGGTCTATTATCACCAAGTGTGAAGTAGAAAATTTCTATATTGGTTAACTTTAATCGATAATACATTCTTATGTTTACCTCTTCTTCATTTTCCATACTATGGCTACTAGTGATCTGTGGAAAACAGTTAAATGGACAATACTAATGTAAATACGCATGTTTGAGTGAACTGGCTTTTTATACAGTTGAGATTACACATTGGAATCTCTTAGGTAAAGTGTGTGCAATATCTTTATTAAGAGGCAGGGAGGCAGGAAATGTTAAGCATTTAGCAGTATCTGGTTTGCTCATGAACATCCATTTGCAGGAGCATCAAGTGGTATTGGTTCTGAAACTAGCCGTGTTCTTGCTTTGCGTGGAGTTCATGTTATCATGGCTGTCAGGAATATGGCTGCTGGCAAAGATGTTAAAGAAACAATAGTTAAAGAAATCCCTGCTGCTAAAGTTGATACGATGGAGTTAGATCTTAGCTCATTGGCATCAGTGAAGAAATTTGCTTCTGACTTTAAATCATCAGGTCGCCCATTGAACCTTTTAATGTAAGAGTGGTAATCACGTATCTGAAGACTGCAGTTTACTCCCCATATTTCTTTTAAGTAGCTTTATTCTCTGCGTGAACCCCTTCCCTCTTCATATATCTCCGTACAGTAGGTCATTTAACCATTTTCTTCTTTGAAAGTAATAATGCAGGAGTGATGGCAACTCCCTTTATGCTCTCAAAAGACAACATAGAGCTGCAATTTGCTACAAATCATCTAGGTAAAAACTATTTGATAGATTTATGTTTCTGCGTATATATCGATCACAGAATGAGGAAAAGCATAATTTGGTCATGCTATATGGAGAAGATATTGTTGATGTTTTGCAGTAAATCATAGAATACTTGCATGTTCTTTTATCTTCTTTTTTTGGTTCCAGCAACAGTTCATTTAAAAATTAAAGCATCTAATCTAAATGTATCTCCCTTCCTGATTTTACTGAGATGAAGATTCAGTTCTAGCTGAAAAGAGATCAATAGTCGATTCTCAACTTTGACATCTTAGGCTTATGTTATAAAATGCATACATAAAAGACCATCTGAGACCTGCTTTAACTTGTATATGCAACAGTGATACAAAGGAGATAAAGCATGATTGTAGAATCACACTGGTAAGCAGGCAATTAATGTCCCTTTTGTATACTTTGTCATCCTACTCTTCTGTAATACAACACACACATGGCAAATCTTACAAGGTTGGTAGTAAGTTGTAGATAGATGATAGGCGGGCGATGATTCTAAAAGTAAGCTTTCAAGACATTCTTGCTATTTATTTGTCTTAGCCATAATTAATTTTCTTGTGTTTGCAGGTCATTTTCTTTTGACGAATTTGTTGTTGGACAAGATGAAGGAGACAGCACGTAAGACAAAGAGAGAGGGAAGGATTGTGAATGTTGCATCAGAGGCTCATCGATTTGCATATCGCGAGGGAGTTCGGTTTGACAAAATTAATGACAGCA